CTCCGAATTTGAAGCAACTCACCATAAGTCGTACGTCGGAGCCATCCATATCTCAACCATCGCGACCAGCACCTTCACGATGTTCTTTCGAATATCTGCCTCGGATTCTTCTGAATCATCAGCATCGGTCGGCGCGTCCGCTCTCTCCTTCCCCTTCAGCTGGTTATGTAGGATCCCTACGGCAGCTTCGTAATGTTTCAGCGCTAGGTTGGGGTCTTCATCACTTAGTTGGGCGAGGTAGAGGTGTGCAGATGCGGGGACCACTGTACTTCTCGTAGGTGAAAGTAAAGATTGAAATGTCTACGAGGAAGAGCTGAGCTATAGACAACAAAACTTTCGGCAAGGAAGCATACTTTCTTAGCATCTTCAAGCTCTCCCATCTCCAATTGTGTTATTCCAAGAAGCTCTCTTGCGTCAACATGGTGAGGATCGCGCTCGAGAATGCGTCGAATGAATTTCTGTGATAGCTCGTAATTGCATTGCGTTATGAGAGACTGTGCTTTGCTGAGAAGGGATTGCGTCGATGGTTCCTCCTTCACAACCGTCGCCGGACTTGGTTTCGACGTGATCACCTTCCCCGACTTCGTTCGTATTCGTCCCATGTTTCGAAGGTGTGAAGGCCGACTGGTTGTCGGATTATGGTGGCAAGCAAAGTGCCATTCGCTTCGAAGATTTTGGACCTGGCGTGGACACGACGCGCGGTGTGTAGCGTCTTGTTACCACTCGGTACTTTTCGCTCCGCATCCGGCAACAATGCGTGAGAACAGCGTCGACAGCGTCTCTTCCAGTCTTCATCCACAGAAAGGCGTAAGCATCCCAAATGAAATATGTTATTAGCTCTTTTATTGGAGTGAAATATACATAAAATGGTCTTCAGAAATAATTTTTGCGTGCATGAACTGTTTTCGAAAGCACAAACTTTTTCGATCACTTCGCTGAGTCAGCCGGCACTTCGGCAAGCATTGCCACCGGCAAGTCCCTGTAACGGCTCTCGTCGAACTTTTCACGCCGCAAAGCTGAACAAAAATTCTCCTCAGGTAGCAGAGCTCTAGAGGTATCTCTAAATACTACTCCTCTCCCATATCCTACACTTTTACCCATAATAGTTGTTGCGGTGGCACCAAAAGTTTGCCTTATAACTTATTTGGGAAATGTTCCACGCGTGTTAGCCGAGTGGTAACATGCAGCTATCAACTCCACGACGCGTTGCGATCGAAGGTCACTCAACGCACTCAGTTCGGAGAAACATTTACACAAAATTCGAGATATTTTATTTTTCAGGCTTAAAATCCAATCCGCAAGGTTGTTCGAATCGCATGTGCAGGAATTTTGGTATTAAAAGAATATATCAAAGCCACCTGCATATACTGGTATAAAACATATGTTGTCACTAGTACAAGTATTCCGATTCCGTGTCCCGGACGCACCTTTCTTCTGTAAAACAAGTACTTTTGATTACCCGGCTTTCCCGGACCTGAGATGTATGTCAGACTTGTTGAGGAGTAGAAGGAGGTCGGTAATTACCTTAACTATTCACACTCAGGCAATGCGCGCGCAACCAACATCCCACCCGATCTAGTATCAGGAAAGCTGAAGATCGCAGCCAAAAACCACCCCCGGTGGCAGGCACCAGAGTGGACGCGCGAGTGGAGAAGATCCCAGCCGTTGGTCCAGCTGGTGCTCGCAGCCTTTCTTTGTGACCCTACGCGAGTCTTCACGTCAGAACTACGAAAACGAATGGATAGAAGGACGGCTTACAATACTGCGGGACCTCTCCGCAATGCGCGAGCTATAGCCCTTGCGAGGCATGAAAGCAGCCCGCCACCCCCGGTGGCAGACCCCACGACCTCGCTTTGCAGCGAAGGGTGGTCGCGCGACAGTGACGAATCGGACTCGGAAGGGGACGAGAAGGTTGACACCGGCACAATGATGGTGGAGGTTCAAGCCGTTGAGGCCGTGTACACTATCGAGGAAGAGTGAGTATAAAATACGGATAAATCAGTAGAAATTGGACTCACCTCCTTAGTTCACCTTCGGACAGTGCGCGTGCATCCAACAGGCCCCGGGCTATTTACCAGCTGACCCGAGGAACACAGCCAGACCACCACCGGTGGCAGGCCCCACTGGCACACCAGGAATTTGATGCAAAAAGTGGACGCGCGAGTAGGGGAGGCAGCAAGCAAACTCACGAGCGACCAATCCACGCCCTTCCCCTGGACTCTACACGACCGCCACTAGCGGCCGGGTTCACTTACGGGAGGGCATCTGGATTCTATCGTTCGGCGCGACAAAATTGTAGGACTCTACGCAACTACCGCTAGCAGTCGGGTTCCTGATTGTTTAGTGTCGCGGACGTCGATCGTCAGAGTGTGCGAGCCAAAATTCGTTCCAAAGATTCCTGCAACTCGAAGCTCTCTGAAAGGAGGCATGTCAGCCATGTACGACCACTCCTCTGACGAAAGGACCTGCTCACCTCTCTGTGCCACCTTACGACAGTCCCCAAGCTTAGATCGACTTCTTGTCAAGGCGAGCCTGGCAATGATCGGCGAGGGGAAAGCGGCGTGCCCACGGATGAGGGGACAGCGACTGCGAGTATGCGTTGGAAGTAGTAGTCGGAGGAGAGAGGGCCCGAGGAGGTAGTGGTAGGAGAGATGGCTCGCTAGCCAGCTTGGAGGGCAGAGACAGCATACGGGCCCACTTTTATAGACTTCCTAGAAGCGAGCCTCCGAGGCTGCTCGATCGGGACGTGCAAGCTGGGCTGACGAGGTGGCTTGAATCTCAGTCCGGTACTTTGGCAGAACATCTGAGGCTGGCTTCTTCTCTGGAAATCCCGGAGGCTGGAAAGAATCTTGTCGCCTTCCAAAAGAGCTGCTCTACAGAACTTCACGGAAAATTGGTCAATGATTGATTGAGCCATTCCCTCCGTTTGCTCGTTATTCTTCGAGGAAAGATGTCGTGCTCGAGATCTAGAGGTAGAGAAAACACGCTCATTGACGTGTCTCCTAGCTACACCACTTTCAGACCATCGCTCGGGCAACATCCTCAGCTTTTACGCGAATCCTGGGAGTCCTAGTACGCGCCGATGCTCAAGAAGAAATCGAACGCGCATGAATGGTGCAAGAAAGACTGGGTTAGACATGCCAGCGGTCCTCGAAGTCGTGGATGGTTGCAGTGATGTCGAGACCCCCTTGTTTCTGCAAAGTTCGAACGAGTCAGCAATTGGCTTGTATCATCGCTGTTATAACATGCCTATTTTCTATGTCTTTCCGGACACCTTGGACGAAATACAACTTGCCAGAAGGACATGCCGAAGTGGTCCCGCGTGCGTATCGGCGAACACCGAAAACAGAGTGGACGGCCGCCATCCCGGTCCTGGTCTTTCGCAAACACCCATGTTGACTTCAACATTCAACACAGAAGATGAGGCTTTCTTCAAAGAAAGGCTCGACATGTTCATGCAAAAGAATCTCAGTGATATCTCGGACTTTTCCGAACGCGAAGGACGGGATTTAGAAAGCGTATGTTATTCTGTTTTCAACACGAGGAACTACTTTCATAGTATCACGTATCTGGCCACACTTATACCTATCTTTTTGATATAGACGAGGAGAGCCGTCGCCGAGTGGCACGCTTCCTGGCTATTTAACTCCACGATACCATTAGACAATCCGGATTCCGAACGTCCATCTCAAGGTAAGTAATTCGGTCGCCTTTTATTTCAACATGTAAGGTCCATACTGTGCAATTACAGTCACTCACTTCGTCGAAAAGATATCGGAAAATCTTGAGAACATGCACGGCGTCACGGGCCAACATTCTCTACTCATTGTGGTAGACCCCACAAGAAAAGACGACGATGGAATCTTCGTTGGCGGGACGTCAACGGGGCGAACGTTTTGGAATGGACTTCGGGGAGGCGGAAGAATCGGCGCTCGACAATTCAAGCAACAATGCAGATCAATACCATCGAAGCCCGAAGCGGAAAGCTCCACTGTCACTGAGACTACTACTACACAGGCAGGCCCAAGTCGACAGACTCCCGCTGTGGCGCTCAAGAACAATTTGTACAATGAAATGCGCTCTGCCTTGAGGTAACCATGTCTCCACTCCAAATATCAATCTGAAATATTCGCGCAGACAGGCTAGCGGAAACTCTGCTGCAGAAATGAAATGGAGCAAGCCAGAGAAACTCGCTTCGTTGGGTGTGCAACTCGTTGGCTGGCCTCCAAGTGTACCTTTCAAAAATCCTTCTCGCATGTCGCAACAAGAGATGACTCTCATTCGGAGTCTGCTTATGAACAAGGAGATCTCATTTGTACGGAAAGGTGCTCACCCGATCGATCCACCAACGACTACCGAAAATACCGCTGCGCCCGTCGAGGACGTCGATATTTCATGGGCAGTCCAAGACGATGGCGATGACAACAATCTCGGTACGCATCCAAGTCTGCTGTGTGTTTCTAATATCGTCTCACTGAGCCGTTCGACAAGATGAGCGTCCTGCAAAACGGCAGCGTGAACTTGAATAAGAAACGCCGTATCATTACCATTGTACATGTCTATGTAAACTCAGCACGGATGATGCCGGGAAATCACTGAGTATCGCATGCCGAAGGGCACGTCCGATGGGCTGTCAGACAAAGAACAGAATCTGAACGAAGCTGTATAGCGCGGAGAGCTAAGTACAGGATGACGCGAAAGAGGAACTAAAGAGCAAGATACCGCGATGCGCAGGGAAGGGGAGAATGGATGTGGGAATAATGTACCGTATATAGTAGCTGTAACCCGAGGAGGGTTACAGTCTACTCACCAAATTACAATGCATTGGCTACTAAATAAAATAAGGAACAGAACAACATAAATCGATAGTGTGCTTGACTTCGATGCTCCAAAATGTATGCCTCTGCAGGAACGGTCGAGTGAGAGAAAGACAGATATATAGCATACATAAAGTTAGAAACTACAAATCGAGTAACGGTGAGGAGCAAAAGGGCAAAAAATGACCCCGACCCGAGTCGAACGGATGACCTTAAGGATACCGGATAAGGAAACATGCTCCCACGCTGGAATCTTACGTTCTACCACTGAACTACGAGGCCTTGGAGTAGCGTTTACTTATATTATATATATTTAGACACAAGTCAATTCTACGTTGACACCGCGCGCAGTCCTCTTTCGCCGTCACTTTGTCCTTACCTCCATCGACCGTTCCACAAGCAACTAGCCTCAACAGCTCGCTTTCATCATCCGAGCTGCTGTTCTCTGAGATCCGTCGAAATGTCGTGGTTATTCAAGTGAGCTGCAGAAGACTCATAGTGGAAGGACGCGCTGATCTGCGTTCAGAACTGTTGATCCCAATGCACCCACATTTCACCCAGTTACAGAAAGATACCAAGATTCTGAGCTGGCGGGAGAGTTAGAGCCGAGAGATCTGGAATGGCTGCTGGCTGGCGGGTTTGCCGCGGAAACTCAGACTTACTACAATTTCCTTGAGGATGGAACTTTCTTGATGGTGCAGTTCGTGCACTCGTCGATCGGCATTGGGTGCGCATCCAATTTTTCAGAGAATTCGTGATGATATTAAGCGGATGATACCAGTATCATTCGTCCCACTGTTCAGTTGACGTTCAAGATGTACAATCCGAATACGAAAGAGGTCATCTGGAGGTCGAACAACGTCTCCAACTTCGTTACCCCTCCGCCCGGGCTCGACAAGCGTTCCTGCAAGTCTGATGGATTCTCAGTAACATATAACAGCAATCCTGGCACTGATACACCCGAATCATATACAATCGTGTGCAATGCATGCGACGATGTCCAAGCGACCCTAACAATCGCTCGCCCAGCCTCTGCTCCTGGGTGGAAGATCGGCAAGGGTGCAAAGGCTGGTCATTCATTCTACGGGACAGATATCGAGAAACCGGATGCTGCAGTTTTCCATAGCTTTTGGCCTCGAACGTGGATATCAGGTCAGATCATATACAAAGGGAAAGCAATCCCTGCTGAAGGACCTGGGATGTACGTTCACGCTCTGATGGGTATGCGGCCCGATCGCATTGCGAAGCGGTGGAACTTCTGCAACTTCCAAAGTAAGGAGCATGGCGGCGTGTCTGCCATTCAGATGGAGTTGACGACCCGTCCTGAATTCGGGCGGAAGGTGGACGGAAAGGACGCGGAGAACGGCGTCACGGTGAACTTTGGGTCAATAGTGCTTGGAGGGAAACTCGTTTCCGTAACCGCGGAGACGATCTGGCCGGACGGCAGCGCATCTTCGCACAAGAGCTACCTCTCGCGCGCACTTCATCTCGACACCGTGCATGACAAGGACACCTCTTACGCGCAACCGTCGAAGCTTCGTTTCGAATGGTCGGCACCGTCTCTGGAGGCGGGCTTCCCAGGAACAATTTCAGCAGAGGTTGAAGCCTCCGTTGGTACACCGAAGGAACCAGAGGGCTTGGTCGAGAAGGTCGATGTCCTGGCCGAAATTCCCGCTATGGTGAAATCGGTCATCAGTTACGTTGCTGGGACGAAGCCTTATATTTATCAGGTTTGTCTCCTAATTTCTCTTCGCCATGTCAAAGTCGTTGCGCATACTAATTAAATCGATTTAGTGGTACAAACCAGCGACTTTGAAAGTAACAGCACCAGACGCAATCCTGCCTGGTGCTTCAGCTGGTTTGAACGTCGAAGGGCACTTGTATACAGAGGCTTCATTTATTTCGTAAACGGAAGGCGGAAATGTTTGAAACACAGTATCATTCTTTGTAATTGTATTCATAGGAGATAACAAACATCCAATCATACAAATTTGGCGAGTTAGAGGAGGCCGTCGCTTCTAATTGCACACTGTCCGAAATCTTTCTTTGTCAAACCCTCTTCCTTGGGCAAAATGTCCTGTAATCGCGTTGGTGAGCACCTTTCTATTTCATGCTATGAAACCGAGACGAACGTGTTCAAAGATTCCGAGAGGCAATGCGAGAGTGACGCAGGCGTTCGGAGAATCCTGGAGAAACATTGACGTTTTGACATGACTTCGAACCATAAAACTTACCACCACCGCTCCGACATGGCTTTCAATGGGGGCAGCAGATAAGAGAAGATCTATTGCACGTTAGTCCCGCCTCTCGGAAGATGAACAAAGATACTTACATGCTTGTTCCCGAGCTGATACCACGACGTTCATTAGCGTAACAGTCTTTTTATGAACAAAAGTCGAAGCCTACTGTAACCAATCTGAATAACAAAGTATCTTAGTATGGAAGCAGATGGACAATCCCAAACCTCTCACCTTCTGAAGGTACGCGATAGCATTCAATGCAGCTTGCTTGTATGCAACAGTCCTGAAATTGTTCATCGATTGAGTATAGAGTTCTCAGCCTTGAACAATCTCAACGCACGCATCCATATTGTATTGCTTGCCGTCCCCGTCTATTTTCGAAAAATAAGTGTCCGCCAGGAAGAACGGGGAAATACTGGCTCACGATAATCCACAGAAATTCCTTCGAAGATAAGCTATTGAACAAGGACTAAACTCGTTGAATCGTATAAATTAGTAATGATGCTATCTGACCTTCGAGGAATAGAGAGGATCAATCGGAGATGGCTGATAAAAGGGAGTCAATGGAGACTCTCGAATTAGAAATCCGCGCAGACGCACTAAGAAAATGGGCTGTTTCAGAGCGAATTTCTCCACTCCGCCTTTAATGATACTCGTGCTGAAGGTGATGATACCTGCCTATCGCATAGTCAGCACAAAAAACTCGCGAAGTCGGAGTAGATATGCACCATCTCAATAGCGCCACAGAACGAGAGCTTTCGAATTCGCAATCAACTCAAGCTCGCACTGCGTCAAGCGTACATTCGTACCTCTCCCTAAATTCATAAGAAATGAGATAATGCATTTATTGAGCACTCCGATTCACTTACGTCACCCTGAGAGAAGTGAAGATCTCCGACGGAAAGGTTAGCACCCTTCACAAATACAGGGAAATAACATCTCGAGCCTCTGTACGCCAAGGTCAGTCTTGAAATCTTACATAGTATACGCATCAGTACCTGGAGAGATTTTTGATCTGGGCCGTGAAAAAAAAAATAAGATCGAGGGCGACAAAAGAACAGGCGGTTTGCTCACGTCGCAATTTCCACCGTGCTCGCGTCCTGGGATCGTCCTTGCGCCCTCCGTAGCAACCTTCTTCATAACGTCTTCAGGCAACTTCTGGCCGACATATGCACCAACGGGTTCCGGAGGGAATGCAACGGGTGGGACCGCGTTCGCGTGCGCAGCGATGAGCTCGCCCTCTCGTTTATTCCACGTTGCTAATAATTCAGCAGACGGTGCTGTTCCACTAAAAGGGGGAGGCAATTAATTGTGCGCCAGATATACTTTTGTAAGTAAAACTGACATGAGACCCGGGTGCGAAACGCCAGCGAATCTAACGCCTGGTATGTGCCTGGAAGTCGCATATACGCCTATTTGGTAGGTCAAATGGACTGTTCGCTGCGGCAAAGAACGTCGTTACCCTTGAAGTCCCATATGGCCTTGCAAGCCTTGCTATTGAATTCGCGGGCTAACATGACGTCAGATTCAAAATTTCTTTCCTAGTACTTGGTCGATTTACCGAACAATCCACCGCCGTTTTCAAGCTCGAAAATACCCTATTCAAATGTTTCGCGAGTGAAATCCGGAGAGCAAGACCCAAAGGACGTACAGTGTAACCCCATGGCATTTGCTCAAATGGCGTAACTATAGACGGGGTTGAGCGCCTGTTCGATTGCATAAAAAATCTCCCATTCGGCTTACCGTCCAAAATATCGACCACCAAACAGTCTCCGGGTTCTGCACCTTCGACAGCCACCGGACCACTCAAGTTGTGGACTTTCGTTAGATTGACATTCTTAATGTCATCACTGTCTTGAGTTGATGCGACTCAGTGTTATGATCGGAATAGCCGGTGAGTTGCTTTACTGTCGTTGTTTCCAATCTGGGCACCAGTCCAATCAATGCATTCGATTTTGAACACCTGGGAGTAATCGTAAGACACGCAGGAAAGACTTTTATGTTGTTCATACCTCTCCGGGCTTTACTGTAGCGAAAGGTGGGATGTCGGGACTGCATACAAAGTGTTCAGAAAACAAAGTTAAGTCCAACGCAATAGTCGCACTGACTGCCAACGGTTGTGTAGTCCCTAGAATATTAGAGTTGAGGATGTAAGTATCAATCCACGTCTTCTACGATTTGCACTACTTACTTCCTGTACGTCCGCGGGTCTTGTTCACTTTTAATATTAAGTGTATGATGATTTTGATACAAAACTCACTTGAACGGATCAACCTATAAAGCAAAATAGGTATCAGTTGCAGTCGTTAGGCGTAGAGCAAGAGTTATTACCTTTATGAGAGTCGGGTGAGGTACCGAATTCGCCCTTGTGGCCATCTTCAAGAGAGAGTGAACAATGTACAGCGACTGAGTGGTGTGAGTAGAGGGTGAAAAGCGAAGCGAGGCGAGATTGCTGATCCCGGACTCTTATAAGTTGTCAGTACCTATCGAATTCCTGTAGATAAGCACATGGACGACACCGCGCCGAGATGTATGGCCTGCTTAGCGCCAGCCAGCTGAATATAGAGCATCCCATGGAAAGCATATAAGCGTGAACTTATCTATGACATAGAAGAACGCGGTGGGATGCTTGTGCCAGGCGTGAGATGGGTTGAGAAGAACAGGTGACTCACCTGGTCGAGGCTGGATGGGAGCAATACGCGTTCGGGATGCGAATAAGTTAGCTATACAGGAAAGAGACGCGATACAACTGGTAATTCGTGACGGTCATCAAGAGTCATACAGTTAGTCTGAATGGATAGTGCCGTGAGATGATGCAAGAAAGAGGATGAAAGGCCCGGAATTCAAAACAATAGACTTATGTATACGTTATTGCCCTTGCTGATATTTACGAATGAGATCTTTGAGTCTGGCTTGTCCGAAGTTTGTTCCCCCTGTCCTTGGTGGAGATCGCTTCAACTCATCATGCCCTTGAGAAGACGTCGTTGTCGCAGTAGCTGTGGGTGGAAGGAATTTCCTTGCGGAGGGACCCGGTCGTGCTAA